TTTTTCAAACTGACTGGCTTTTTCCACTGGCTTTGGCTCATTTTCTGTGAAGAACATATATCAGAATTCATATTTAATGCCCACACACCGTACACCCCCCCCCTACACATTTCTATTACATATAAGATGTCCGGGTCCACTGGACCCGGGGCTAAAAGAAGTGTGGAAATGAATGTTCTGTGAACCACACACAGACACACACACACACACACACGCACTCACAATTTTGCAACCTTGTGTGGGAACCCCAGGTGCACAAACACAAAAGAAACAGTTCCCACACATTGTTTGTCTTCTTCTCATTTTCTCGCACATTTGATCCTCTGTCTATCTGCTAAATATTGGGGTTCTCTGCCCAGAGGCCCTGGGATTGATTTTGGATGAGAGAGAGAGAGAAGTTAAGATAAGGTAAACATCTGTTCAGTATTTTAATATAAAAGTGTTTTAATATAAAAGTGATTTTGAGGCATTAAAAGCTACAAAATGCAACGGGTCCGTCAGACCCGCGAACACTGGCTGAGTAACAACGATATGAACACCACACAAGGTGTAGCGGCTAAAATCCAGTATTTTAGGCTACTGGTTGTTGACTTTAAAAGGTGTTGGTCTTTCGTGTGCTCTGTTTAGAATTCCGGATGCCAGTCTTTGGTTTGATTTATAATAAAGTCGTTTATTGTTTGCATAATGTCCATCATTGCTATTTCCATTGTAATTCACCTGTATTCTGCCATCGAAAATCAACCAGCGACACAGTAGAAAACTGTTGCCCCTTCTTATCAACAACGCCTGAAAACAATCACGGCAGACCTTAAATAACCCATCCCTCATTAGACACACAGAACTCAAAATGAAAAACGCCCCCTGGTGGCGATAAACACAAAAAAGGATAAATGGCTCCTACACAAGGGTTAAAGGTGTTTTGGATCGGGCCGTTTGTGCTTTTACGTGTAATGGCCTTTTGCGTGTGCGGCAGGGCCGTGTTCACCGTGGAGCTGCACCTGCAGACCGAGCGGGCGCTGACGGTGGGAGCCGAGACGCAGGAAACGCAGCACGACTGGATCCAGGCCCTCACGAAGGTGAGTCTAAAAATGTGCTGCTTTTTCAAACTCCTGCCTCCCAACACACACGCTGCTGTTAGAATCGGTTCTTTAGTTGGAAGCCTGAGAATAAACCAGAGTAGATCCAGAGTACAAATATGACATTTATTGGTCACAAGCAAAGTATATCAGCGCTGGGCTCTCACAGACAAAGTTCCCGAGGGATCTCAGTTGGCAAGAGCCTCGATTTCCGGATGCAATGGGTAGTTATCCTCTGGGCCGGGCCTCGAAGGGGGGAAGACGGTTGGGCGTAGCCGAGCATCATTGGCCAGTTAGTTTGGTCATGATCAGGCCAGAGGCTCTTTGTTCATGCAGGTTTCGTGGGAATGTGATAAGAAAACGTGTGTGTGTGTATGTTGAGCTTGAAGACGTGTATCTATTGTAACAGAGAGATGGGGAGGAGGAGGGCATATCCAGAGAGTTTAACCCAAAAGTAGAATGATAAATGGAATAATATGAATCTAAAAGGAATAATACAATCAGTCATTTACAAGGATTAAGTTATAGCATGTTATGCTAACGTAAGTAATTATAGCCCAATTCTAACACTGCCCTCAGCCTCTTCCAAGAGCCGCCTCCATCTTGTTAGAATTCCCAGCACAAACGTGGTCCCCCGTCCCCTTCCTTTTATTTCCTCGGTCCCAGGCAACGCAGTCATCGTCCATATGTCTCTCCATCTGCACCAGAGTCCTCGTTCTCCTTCTGTACACGGCGGAATCTCAACCCTAGTCACACCCGCTCGCGTTTTTTCCCCCCCGTCTTATTCCCCTCCCTGGGCGGCACGGTGGTGTGGTTGGTTAGCACTGTCGCCTCCCAGCAAGAGGGTTCTGGGTTCGAATCCCGGGGGGGAACCGGGACCTTTCTGGGTGGAGTTTGCATGTTCTCCCCGTGCCTGCGTGGGTTCTCTCCGGGTTCTCCGGCTTCCTCCCACAGTCCAAAAAAACCTGCATGTTAGGTTGATTGGAGATTGGGGAAATTGCCCTTAGGAGTGAATGTGAGTGTGAGTGGTTGTTTGTCCTTGCGTGTCTCTGTGTCATGCTGCGATGGACTGGCGGACTGTCCAGGGTGTACCCCGCCTCTCGCCCGTTGACCACTGGGATAGGCTCCAGTTCCCCCCCGCGACCCCATCAGGGAATAAGCGGTATTGATAATGGATGGATGGATGGATTCCCCTCCCTGCAGAAGGTTTCCCTGTCACGAATCGCAGCCACCGTTTTCCCAACTCCCGTGTTTTTCTACCCGCAGTGCTTCGTCCCGTCCAAAGTGGAGGGGCTGGTGCGCAAAGACGCCGAGCTGATGGGCAGACTCCACTACAAGGAAGGCCACGACCTGTACCACTGGAGGACGGGGTGGTTCTCGCTCCACGGAAGCGCCCTGCGCTTCAGCTCGGGCGAGGCGGAGGGAGAGGAGGAAGTCCTTCAACTCAAACAGCTGCAGGAGCTCAGTGAGGCATTTCATTAGCTTCCATTGTTATTTTAATCGGTAACTCTTTCCCACTCTCGCGTTGTAATGCGGGGACACGTTTAACAGCCCTTTTTTTTTTTTCATAGAAGCTGAGAGAAGAATCAAATTAGTGTGTCGGTGAACTCAATTCGAACATCTGATCTCCCCAAATTGAAGCGGTTGCTCTGCAACTCTTTAGAATTTCTTTGATTATTTAACAATATGAGAATTATTAGCTTCAAACTGAACTGAAATTGAACCTTATGTTCAAGTTAATGCAAAGTACTTAGGACTTAGTACTGATACTATTTGCCATTCTCATGTCACTTTCAAGTATTTTTGTAATTTCTCTGTCACCGCCCTTTAGAAAAAGCTGTAAGCGCATCACAGCATTAACTTATAATGTTCTACAACTGAGAACATGGGTTTATATACCCAGAATGGAAAACCAAAAGCACACAAAACACATTCAGTTTGTAAAACTGTGTTTTTGTGTTGAGATTCTGTTAAAAACTCCAGTTAGATGCATTTATGTTTTTAGAGCTGCTCCACTGTTGACTGCCCTCATATTTTAGACCTCTCATGGTGCAACTAGACACAAAAACCTCAATCAATTTTTACTTTATTCAAACCCGGCTGTTGTTGTTTTTTTTTGTTTTTCGAACTTTTCGTCCAACAGCGAAAAATTTCGAAGGCATGAAAAAAAACTATTTGAGCTTCGAATTAAATTCCCAGAAAAAGAAAAACATTTCACTTGAACTTGGTCCAAGGAACTAATCAGCGCTTGATTTGTGAAAATTGGCCAAAACCATTGAGTATTTGGGGCGTAAAACCACAACAACCAATCAATGGAGCAGTCAGGTTTTTGTTGTTTAGAGTCCTGTAAGCTCAAAAGGCAGTTTGACAGGGAACAAAAAAAAAGAAACCTCAGATTTTTGTCCTCGCTCAGCCGAATCAAAGCTGAGTGGGCTTTTGTCAGAGCACTTTGCATACCTTAGTTTATCTGAGCTCTCCGTAAACGGCTCCAGTTTATTACGGCAAGACGTCCCCGTAATAGCGGCTGTCGACCTTTAATAGGGCAATGAATCAGATATTTTCAAATCTCGGAGCCTAAAAGCCTTTCTGCTTCTCTTTATAGTTGAAGGGGGTCGGCGGTGGTAATTTTTGCGGAGGCCGTGCGGAGATTTTCGTCTTGTTAACTTTCATGCTGTTTTTTTCTCATTGTCTCTGTGAAGAATTGTCTCTTCTTAATGATGCCGGAGGCGGCGTGCAAGTGACCAGTTACCGACGGCATTACGGCTTCTGGCACCATTGCACATTACAGCCGGACCTCTGCTCCGACAGGCCAGCCTTAAAGAGAACAAAAAAAGACCTACTCGGAGAAGCACATTAAGAGACGATCTGTTAAAATAAAGCGAATAAGTAAGGGTCGATGATGCATAATGCACTGACAAGCAATCGTCAGCCAAAATGGGATTTCCGGAGCTCACCAGAGGGAAAACACAAATTTAGACGAGGTTATTATTACTGTCGGTATTATTACTGTACTTCCACATCGCAGGCAAACATGACTTATTTAAAGTCTTGGAATGTGCCAGCAAGAGTAAAAAGGCTCTTATAGTTCAAGCGTGCTTCAGCCGATGATGGAGATTTTTTTTTTTTTTGAAGATTTCAATTGATTGCGCCAGTGTGACATTCAAACAGAAGGAGCAGAGAATCAATGGATCTTTTTTTAATCTACTTACAGCTCGACGTGGATCAAATCGCGCTAAGTGCCGCCCCATCTTCTCACCTGGGGCGGGATAAAGAACCGCAGCCGGGTTCGTTTTTTATTCCCCGGCTTTTCTCGAACCATATTTGTCACAGCCGGGGAGCCGCCGGTGCCAGAAGGGGTTCTGGGTTTTTGTCAGAGGGACGGCGGGGTTGCGGAGCACTAAAAGGATCGCTTCAGGATTCGCAGTCTGTGACACGGGATTAACTGTTATTTTCTCTCCAGTGACACCGCCACATGAAAGGTGCCCCCCGTGTCGCACTCGGGGATTAAATAAACCCACTTTTCAATTAAAAGCACTACATGTTTCCAACATGCCTCGCTTCAAACTGTGTAGGGACTTTATTTTGATTCGTACAGACTGTGGGGCTGGCTTTTTTCTTTGACCGCAGGCTTCCAGAGATTCTATAACCGATTGATATGCAAATGAAGACTTGGCAGAGTGTAAAGCAGATTCTTAAACGTGACCTTTACCTGTTTTGTTCTAAATTTCCTGGTCTGGCATTCAGCCTAATTCAACGTTACCGTATAATTAGGTCCATTTTGAGAGTATATACCTCAAAATCTTGTTTTGAATCTGTGCATTTTTGTCGGTTGTTTGGTCGAATTTATCTTGACAACAAATATCAGTAAGGGACAAAAAGCAATCCTCTCTATTTAAAAAAAAAAAAATCCGAAAGGCTTCTCAGGTTCTATAAAAGAGGCTGATAAGTTTGTCCTGCCATATGTCAAGTTATCAGCAGCACAAGAAATACGAAACGAAGTAAAACGAGGAGGAAATTAAAGGAAAAACTAGAGTAATCATTAACTTTACGCAAAAATCAGCCTGCCCACCTAGAACTTGTCAAATAAGATGAGAGCATTTCTTTTAAACTGGTGCTCTCCAACTCTATCTTGATGAGGTGGATCCAGAATATGAATGCTAATCCAGGCTGAGAGGACTCCACACTGTAAAAGGGGAAAAAAGCGTATTTTTATCATTCCTATTACGTTTAGAAATCCCAGCTAACAACGTTTAAAAAGAGAATCAGCGGTCATGATCATTTCCGTTCAATTGGAAGTCGATTTGGATCGGGCCGATTGCTTTTTCTGCTTAATGTCACAGGCTTGCAATCACACAATACACAAGATAATTTTAATGAGGGCGGCGATAAGTCTGAACAATGATCTCTGGTGTTTGGTGGCTGCGACTCTGGGAGATGGAGCCAACCACATTAATCCAACTTTGATTTTCCCCTTTTGAATTGGTTTTCGCCGATAAATGTTTAGATTAAATGTCCTCAGTGGAGAATCGGGCTTCTATTCAGGCTTCGGAGCAGTTTTAAAGAAAGCAGGTTCCTTTTTCTTGATTTTACAGACACACAGAAACACAAATGGGATAGCTGAATGGACATGATACCAGTTAACCACACTGAAACATTTGTTGAAGAATGCGTCAGAAAAGCAAAAACTCAAACGCATCGAGACATGAATGCACCTCCTGTCAGACACTGGCTGAGTTTATTATCAGGTCCTCACATGTCTTATCCAACCCAACCAGGAGTTGCTGCCATGAGAGGGAAAAAAAAAAAACACTTCTGTTTTTCTAATTTTGTGAAGAAAAACTTTTTTTTTTTTTTTTCAAATAACAGCTTTGATGAGAACAAGGCAGCAGACTTAGTTCCTTATCACATAAGTATATAAAGTAATGAAAAAAAAAACCCACTGAGCTGTTAGATGGATAAAAGCGGATTTATGCGCGTTTGTTCAAACGGCACATGACAAATGTTTCGCATTTACCTGATAACGTTTCTAATAAACCTCTCTCAAGTCGATCTCTTAAGTTCTTTTGCTTTCTTCTCTTGTTATTTGGATCAGAATGAAAGACTGTGCCCTTGAAAATGTGCCAGTCGAAATGAAACGCTAACTAGGAAATTAGTTCGAAAAAGCCTTTAGTGGGGATTAATTGTTTTTACTGTCTGGGTGAGTGTACAAAGAGCTGCACAGAGGCCTTGTCTCTCAAAAATAACACACTTCTTTGTCACTTGTAGTCCAAATATATTTATGCTTTATTTATGTTTCGTTGATCAGGAAGTTTCACATTAATTTGGAAATGCCTTACAAGGTTCCATTGGTTTAATGGGAAAAAAAGCTCCTTTAATTTGGCAAGGCTTTAGTTTTTTGTAGATAAATGGGTATTTGCCGTTCGGTGGTACAAATCAATCTCCTAAAATCAACAGTCGAAGGTGAGGTATTCCATCCTCCTCCTCTATTTTTTTCATCTTTGTATCCATTACTTGAGAACATGCAGTGCTTGAGTGTGATGAAAGTGCCAGATGTTGTTGCTAGGAGATTTGAGCCGAGCGTTGTCTCTTTTTTTTTTTTTTTTCTCGCGCTTTTCTCGGCAGTGTGTAATTGTTGCCAAGCAGCTGTTTGAAGCCCCCAAAGAGATTATGTCGGAGCTTTTGTGTCCCTCCACACAGTTTTTTCTGAATCTGGCTCTCTTATTCCGATTTAAAGAGATTGATTGTGCAGATGGCAGCAGGTTTTTTTTATTCTTTAGTCTATCTTTCTATATGTGTTGAATAGCGGGTGCAAAACAAGCTTGTTTATTTGAAGTCAGAGCATTTATGTGAGAATTGAGTACAAATAACAGCACTTTCAATTTGGCCCACTTTTTCTCGACAGTTTAATCTGCCGTCAGCCGGACAGGGGCACAAAGCCTGAATTCATGTTTCCCATTACAAGAAGGAAAACCCCATTAAATCCAGTGCCGTGCATTTGGTTATTTCCATTAATGCACACCTCTCTTTGCTTTCTTCCCCCACTTCAAAAGCAGCCAGGTTTTAACCTGGCCCTCCTCAAAAGGTTGGTTACATTAAAGCTAGTTAGTGTTTCTTTTTATGTATGTGTCAGAGGGCCCGTGTGATGCAAAGTTTTTTTTTTTTTTTCATTTATACCCTCAGACGCTTTTTTCCAGTCTAGTCCTAGCAGGTGTTTAAAACTGGCAGTGGTGTCAACATTCACTCCGCCGCGCCATAATGTTTAATCACCACGCGGCTAAGATTGATGAGGCCCTGTCAACGAAAGCTGTGAGTCAAAGAACGTCTGAGGGTGTCCCGAAGTCTCCATGCGTGACATTACAGGAGAGACGCACTCCTTAAATGACACGGCCCTTTCATTCGCAGCCCGAATATGAACAGTGAAGTTGTATTCTCCTTTTTTTTTTCCCCAGCTCAATCGAGCTGTTAGAACGTCTATATGTTGCAGTGATATGGGAGAAATATTCAGATGGTTTCTAAAAGGAATAAGAGAAGAATCGTGGAAGCGATGGCTCAAAGTTTTCGAACTTTTTTAGGTTTGACCGAACGTTTCCTAAAATCTCTCTAGTACAGTTTTTAATGGAGATTAGATCGGAATCCGATTTTGTTATTTATTAAAAAGTCCCAAGTGGGCTGAGGAAACAGGGCAGAGGTCGACTCGAAATCAATTCTAAAGTAGGAAAAAAACAGTGGTTTGGATGCCATGAATTGCTTTTATTTTATTTTGAGAGAAAAAAAAAGATAAAAATGAGCTGAAAGTCATACCTGAATGTTGCCTGTACACATATGTCTAAACTGACAGAAACAATTTTGTTAGTTAAATTATGGTGATAATAAATTCAATCAAGAAAGGGGAGGGGGGATTAGAGCTGTTTTACAGTGAAGCTCACTGTTTAAAATTATACCGATACAAAAAAAAAAACTAAAGGACCTTCCTGGAAAATGCTTAAATAATGGATTTATTGAGTTTGTTCTTCAGTGTAAATTAATTACAGTCGGTTTTTTTGCTTTAACTTGCGTTGTCATATTGATTTTCTAACTCTGTTTGACTGTTCTTTGCCTTCTGATCAGTAAATCAGTAAATGCATCTTGTTACAAACGCATCGGCTTTCAAAGCATTCATGTTTATTTTTTGCAGACACCGAACACTTTCAAATGCAAAAACCGTCCCAAACTGATTATGTCGCGTGTGGCTTTTCAAAAAAATGTTTCCTTTTGTGGTTTCGTTTGACATCTCCCTGTCTTCTCTCTCCACAGCTGTCTCCACACACACCGAGGGCGAGGACAAGATCCAGGTCCTTCTGATGGTGGAGGGCGGAAGGTATGATTTGGGCCGGGGGGGGAAGAAAAAAAAAAGTGGAACATTTGCTAATTGGCCGTATATTTGCGATACAGCAACAGTGCACATTAGGCAGTCCTGTTAGCTTTGACTCAGGCTTTTGTCTTGTTAGTCCGAACGCACTTCACCTACTGTAACCATCCGTGGTAATTAAAGTCTCGCTAGACTGCCTGCCTGAGTTAGGGAGTGTTACTCTGCGAGCCCTCACACAGGCTGAGGATTGTAGCCTCCCTTTTAGACTAATACAACAAGACTTTGTGCTTACTTTGCTAATTGCTGTTTGTTTGTGCGCTTTTTGATCAGACCTTGTGGGAAAGCGGCGGCTGTTTATAGCCGTGTGCTCCGCAGAAGCCCCTTTCGGATTCCTTTAATCTTGCTGGCTGTTTGTTTAATGATTAAGAAGCACTTCTCCAAGTATAGAAACTTTTTGTTTTCGGCACAGACACACAAAAAACTGGACACCGGCGTTATTATCAGAAGATGACGCGTCCCTTTTTTTTTTTTTTTCCTCGCCTCCTTTGAGCAGGACGGTCTACATCCACGGCTTCAACAGGACGGACTTTGACCTGTGGCACTCGGCCATCGCGCTGGCTGCAGGCACCGACGGCAAAGCACTCAGTGACCAACAGCTGACCAAAAACGGCGTCCCCATTATTGTGGACAGCTGCATTGCTTTTGTCACCCAGTATGGTGAGTTTGCCGTTCACGTTTACTCGCAGGGAAAAGGCTGCAAACAATTCATGGTCACCGATACTTATATATTTCCCCTTGAGGAGCTGATTCATCGAGTATTCAGTGAAAAGATGAGGATTTTATACTCTTAACTCATTGACTGCCAGCCATTTTCAGAACGGAGAGTCCCATACTGCCAGAGTTTTTTGAGCATTTTGACTGATTTTTCAAGAGCCACAGAATAGTTTGTGCTATGACTATGTAAACACCGAACACACCAAAAGAAAGAGTAGACTCTCTTCTTTCATCGGGAAATTTTTTTTTGTTTCTACCTTATTCCGTTCTTCCTCGACTTGCGTCTCACCGGCGCCATTTCTCGCATAGCGAACCATTACGTTTTTCTTATTTGCCTACAGTCTATGCTCATCTTCCATCAAAAGTGGCACTGCCACCTAGAGGGTCAATTTGTTACTACATACTCTGTCTAGAAGCCTGATATTTACGGACAAGCTTTAGCAGATCGTCCCCCAAGACACTCGCGTTGAAAAACATAAAAGACGTCTATAGACGTCTTTGGCAGTCAACGGTTGTATTTGAATTGACGTCTATAGACGTCTTTGGCAGTCAATGAGTTAATGAAATAAAAAAAAAACTAAATCCATTTGGAAGAGTACCATCCCTTCTCAGTGCATGATCAATACAAACTATATGATGGAACAGAGAGAAAGTGGACCAACATTTTCATTGTACCTGCTATCTCTTAAATATAAATCGGCCGCACTCTGCTTCTTCGCTCAGGTTTGTGCCAGGCGGGGGTCTACCAGAGGCCCGGCGACCCCGCGCGGGTGTCCCAGCTCCTGGAGGACTTCACCCGCGACGCCCGAAACGTGAAGCTGCGGAAGAAGGAGCACCAGCTGGACGACGTGACGGACACCCTGAAGACGTTCTTATCTGAGGCCGAGGACGCGCTGCTGACCAAAGAGCTCTATCCATACTGGGTGTCGGCTCTGGGTGTGTGCCGTGTCCCATTTTTTATATTAGATTGTTAAACATCTGACATGAAATGAGTATTTTAACTCATTGACTGCCAGAGTTTTTTGAGCATTTTGACTGATACTTCAAGAGCCACAGAATAGTTTGTGCTATGACTATGTAAACACCGAACACACCCAAAAGAAAGAGTAGACTCTCTTCTTTCATCAGGAAAAAAAAATTTGTTTCTACCTTATTCCGTTTCTTCCTCGACTTGCGTCGATCTCATAGCGAACTGTTACGTTTTTTTTATTTGCCTACAGTCTATGCTAATCTCCCATCAAAAGTGGCACTGCCACCTAGAGGGTCAATTTGTTAGTACATACTCTGTCTAGAAGCCTGATATTTACGAACAAGCTTTAGCAGATCGTCCCCCAAGCCACTCTCGTTGAAAAACATAAAAGACGCCTATAGACGTCTTTGGCAGCCAATGAGTTAAAAGTAGAAACCGAATTCTGTCTATTTCACATTAGGATGAAGATGTGAAATGCGAAACAAAACTCTCCTTTCATATGTACTTTCTGTAATTTAGGCTTAAAATCAAGCATTTCCCTTTGTGTCTGTTTGCCTCATTTCTCTCCTGACTGCATTTGCAGATGAAAAGGAGAAGAGCCAGAGAGTGAAGAAGTACTCCACTTACATAGAGAGTTTGCCAAAGATCAACAGGTCAACCCTCGAAGCTCTGCTACAACATCTGTACAGGTATACAGACACAAGGCTCACAAAGGCTTTACACCGCAGCCACCTTCAGCTAAGGATGCTTCAGCGAGGCGATGTCAAGATGGAGGTCACAGCACTTTCCAAGCACTCGCTATATTTTCAATTAAAACATCTAAAAAGTAAATGAGGAGTTCCCTCCGCAATAACTAGGTTTATTTGCTTGTTTTTGTTGACTGGAGACATCCAGAGGCCTCAGAGAATTAGCGCACAGCGTCCAAAAGGCTGTCTGCTAAATTCCCTTTGCAGTTTGCGATGGAATAGAAGAAATCTGCTGTTTTGTGAGGATAACGCCACGCTTACAGTGACTTCACGCACAAAGTTTGGATTTATCACCGTCGGCAACTTGTGGGTGGCAGATGTACCCCGTCAAGGGAAAATGAGGAATGATTTTTATTGCACGGGAGACAAATCCTCTTTGTGCTTAAAAAGTGTCTTGAAATGATACTAGGCAGGTATCAAAACGAATGAAACTTTGTTTAAAAGGGAGCGTAAAACAAAACCAACAGAACGCCGAGTCAAAGTTCGGGGTTTCAGAGACAGCACAGCACAAAGCCGTTAGCTCCTCCACAGCTAATTGGATTAAAACACAAACACTCGGCCATCCTCGTGTCCCACTCACCGAGGCTCACATTACACACCGGCCCCTCAGATACCTGCTCTAAACGGTTATGATTTAGCCGCTAATTACACGGACTGTTTCAGGAAGACCTAATTGTCTCAGAGTTTGGCTTAAGACCTTAGCTTTGCGCCCCTGTGAGGGCTCAGGGAAGAGATGCGCATTCAGGGATTTTAAAAGGAATCGTTTCCCCCCTCTGATTTAGGATTCAGAAGTGCGCGCACCTCAACGGCATGCCCAGCGAAAAACTGGCCTCGGTCTTTTCCTCCTGCTTGTTCCAGACGCGGGGACAGACCTCGCAGGAAATCAGCGTGGTCCATGACCTCATCACCAGCTACGTGACCCTCTTCAGCGTGAGTCACAGTGTTGTTCCTTCTTTTTATAGACTATGCTTTGTGCCATCAGACAGTGGTGCCAAACTTTCTCTGAGGATGGCAGAAGACCATTTGTGTTAAATGTACCTCCAAAAACATAGTAACTTATATTTCCACAGATCATCCCATAGATATTTTAGGTTTTTATGTGAAAAGCTCTCTTGTTTATTGAAAGTTTATATCTACTTTATACAGATAAAGTAAACAAAAATCCCATATTTAGTGAATTTCAGTATGATTGTGCGCTATATGAATACAGTTAGCTTTCGTACACAGCCACCCAGATTGACTTCATAGTCTCGTGCACACCGTCGTGCACGTATTGTCACTTTGTGAGGAGGCCAAGGGTCAAAGAGTCAAGCCACCAAAGCTCCAGTTATCGTGCAGCTCGATGGCGTCTCAATCACCAAAAAAAACAACAAAAAAAGTCAATAAAGTGACAAGCGACCGCAGTGCTTTTGGTTATTCATTTGTGGTTGCTTGAAATTCGAATGCATTAAAGCCAGTCGCATTAAAGCCCTCCGCGGCCGCTCTGTTTAACACAGCTCTTAATATCTCAGCGGCTCGGTCCTCATCGTCGGATCTGTTTATTCGTCCCAGCAAGACCATCGCAGACACTGTCGGAAGCCCGTAGCCCACAGTCTGATGTAACGGGGCCTTCCCGCATTAATCATTCTTAACAACCGCCACTGCCAGAGATCAACAGAGAGTCGCGGTATAGCTATACTGCACCACTAAAGCAAGCAGCGGGCAAGACTTTATTCACCTCTTGTCCTTCAACTACCCGGGGAGCAGAACTCGTGTTGCCAATCTCCACAACAGGATTGAGTTTGCTGATGTGGGGGATGTGCTCGAAGGGGGTGTGTGTGTGTGTGTGGAGTCGGCGTTACCCTTGGAGAAGCTGCCTCAGTCGTGGAATACGCCGCTAATTCCCCGCGGAGCGCCATGATTCACACGACAAATAGCCATTAAGCCCGGCCAATCCCGAGCCCCGATGGCGATGAATACGCTAACTGCGACATGAAAACGAGTGAGACGTCGCGCTAATTAAAGCGGCGGTTCTGCGCTTGGCTGTTTGCTGACGGGGGCCCCATTATCAGGCCCGAACACGCGCACGATGAGTTTGCGAGACTTCGGCAATCTTTTTCCGCCATGTGTACGAGCGACAAAAGCGAGTCGCTCTCTGAAAAAACGATAATGCCATTAAAAAAGCGCTGGAATAAGAACAATGATGGCGCGTGCTTTGGAAGAATAGAGCGCTCGCTTGATGCTGAGCTGTGTCGAACGTTCGGCCAACTTTCTCAGTTTTAGAAGTCTTTGCTGCATAAGCCCCCCCCACCCCCCCACCCCCCCTTTCCCCGAAACACAGCTTGCATGTTCATCTGTCTTTTTCTGATGTGTCATGTTTCATATTAAAAAAGCCGAAGCGGTTATGACTGTTGCAAAAATGCCTTTTAAGATTTTGCCAAGCGATTTCGCAAAATTAGTTTGCCTGATTGGGAAAGTTTTTGCCGTGGGCCGACTTTGAATGGCGATGTGTGTGTGTGTGTGTGTGTGTGTGTTTGCGTTGTGCTACCGACAGGTCAATGAAGAGCAGGTGCAGCAGATGGAGAGAGAAAATGGCTTCATTACACGCTGGAACGACAAGAAGGACACCTCGGTAAGTCGACCCCACCACAGAGCCCAAATGGAAACGCGTGCTCTGTTTATGTCTGAGTGTGTGCATCGGGGGGGGGGGGACACAAAGGTGGGATTTATTTGAACAGGATTTCTGACTAAAACGAGGAGACCAAGAGCAGGTGGGTGCAGGGAGAAAAAAAAAAGGGCTTTGTGACCGTTAACCTTTTACGAAAAGAACTTTGATGCCTGGATGTCGTGAAAAAAGCTTTATTCCGATAACTGAAGGGGGAAAAAATTAAATCAGTCGGTGCCAGTGTTGTTGAAATCTAGAGTTTTTTATTTATCTATTTTTTTTTTTTTACTGCTTTCTTCTGCCCCTGCCAGGCAGGTGGTTTGTCAGTGGAAAGCCAGTACTATTATAAAGCTGTCAGTGGTAAGAACTGCGATGATATGTACGATATGATTCTGAATTTGAAGGTTTTGGGGTTTTTTTGTGTTGACAAATCATTAGATTTTCCCATTAAAAAGGTTTGTTTATGGTAATTATACGTAAACACAGAGCACAGTTGGTGGCTTTACTTTACTGACGATTTAGAGCCAAGTCATTTAACATTGTAATCTTATTTCACTTTACCCCTGTCAGTTTTAATCACCGTCTGCCTTTTTCGGGTACGCGCCACGTTAAAAAGCCGAGCACTGTGGCTGCAAGAGTTTGGGAACCCCAGCAGTCATGACAAGTGCTCAAGAGAAGCATTTTAAAAAGCCCTAAAGTGAAGAACTCATTATATTTATCTATTTGAGTCCACAGGTGTTTTTTCTTGTAGCTCCCTGCGTCGGAAAATATGAAGAAAGTTCAAGAAAATGTGGTTTTCCACCCACAGATTTATGAAGCCCGCATTGCAAGAGTTATTATGCATTCAGTTTGTTCATCGTGGTATCTGTCTGAGGCTTAAATGTGCTATCCTGTGAAACAGTGCCTCAGTGCCCTTTTTATTTACCGGGCTTGTGGAAAATAGCTAAACAGATTGCTTTTTAGGTCTTGGCTGTCTGGAAGAGAGCAATCTGATATTAAAACTTTTGGCCTTTGATGTTATATCACTTTGCTGGTTGGCGCTGAATGTTGAATAATTCTCTCATAATGAATACGTCCATGTATACTTGTGTCTCTTAAAGGTTAAGTACTCGACAAAATTGATGAATAGTGTAGTGCAGGTGTTTATTCTGTAACTATACTGCACTGTAAAGTAAACTTTGGCTTTTAAAAAGCAGACTTAAGCGGGATTCTCACTCGGCCTACAGACACATTTGAATGTGTTTTCACAAATATATCCAAGTGTAGTTTTTTCTCTTGTGTAACTAAAGGTTAAGAAATCGCCCCAAATACTTTGAGAATGATATAACATGGAGCATTGTACCCAGCGTAAAGCTACATGCTAATTAGCCAAGTAGTATTCTAGTGCTGTTTGTCATGTACATTTGCTGATGTTGGTAAGTAGCCAGAACTTCCCTTTTTTAGATAATTGGAGAGAGTGAGCTGTTTTCCTTTTTGTCAGTTTGCCTTATAAAAGTTTTGCTAGAGCTTCTACTGACACCCTAAGTTACTCTACAGAGTGAAACTTTTTTTCTTTTAGAAGAATGCTCACTAAATGATAAATAAGGAACTACCTCTGAATGCCTTCAGGTACTGAAGTGGCCAAACTCAGACACAGTTGCACCGTAAGCTGTGTGCTGTACTGCTGAGAGTCAATATTCAGCGACTGTGTGTTAAAGGATTACAAACATCCTTAGTATTCACCCCATTGGGGACATTAATGCCAGTTTCCATGGAGATCTCAGAGAGTTGTTAACAGTTTTAACTCAATAGCACAGATATTAAATGCCATGTTATTAATGGAGGAATACTCGAGGAGGCATAAAAGTTCACGGCGATAACTCCAGAGCTGCTTAAATATTTAGTCTGGACCATCAAGCCGACTCATCGAGTTATTTTCAACTCAAGATATGAGTTAAAGATTTTTCAGAGCAAACGAATTTTTGTGTCACCTCTCAGTACCTGGAGAGAGACAGCACTTTTGATATTTACCCCGCCGGTGAATATCCTGACCTCATCTTTTTAGGTGTAAATTACATAGGAAGGAGAGATTAACAACAGGATGGCTCGATTTACAGTGTGTGTGTGAGGGGGGGTAGGGGGGGGGTAGCGTATCAGGGCTATAATGAGGTGCAAAGCAGTGTCATGTCTTTCAAGTTCAAGCTGGTACTTAAAAATCAATGCCTGTATTACAGCCATGGTAGAGGATGGCTTAAATTAGGACAATTAGAAAAGGTTAACAGGTTTTCTCAGGTATTTCTTAATTTTCTGCGCTCTCCTGTTTGCTAAATTGTGTCATCCTCCCATCAAACAACAATGAGAAGAGGAGAGGAAGAGAAACTCGAGCCCTGCGAGGTTGCTCCATATCTGCCGGTGACATTTTCACAATTACAGCTTTTTGCACCATTGGTTCGGATGACTGTAATTTCTGTCATTTTAGGGCCACCGGAGTCAGGAGGGGCCCAATCCCTCTTATTATTACACAGTTCAAGCCAGTAATGGACTTCAGCTCAACTGGTCATTAAAATCGCCGAGGAAAAGTAGCTGTCATTTCTCCATAGCCTCGGAAAACAATAAAAACCATTTGTGACAGAAAGAATAATATCATAGATACAGTACAAGCAGCATAAAGGAGTTTTTGTCCGCCGGGCTTTTCCTTAAAACAATGGGCTGAAGAAGTTTCACATCTGGAGGGAACTTGGAGCAAATCCATAACTCACGTTGAAAAGAATCAGCTGAGGTGGCTTGGGCGCCCAATTAGGATACAACTTCCTTTTGGAGAGCTTCCAGGAAGTTATGGTTGGGAGAAGACCCAGAACTCAGGCTGGGGATTACATTTCCCTTTCAGTCTGGGAACGTCTTGAGTTCCCTCAGGAAAAGCTGGAAAATACACGTAGGGAAAGGAATATCTGTGTTTCCCCTGTTGACCTGTTGCCCAAGAGAATATATAGGATTATGGTTTGATGATATTAAAGGAGGAAAAGGAAATTCCCGATCTGAATTTTTTAGATTTAACTATGATTTTATGTCAAGATAAGATTTTGAGAGAGTGCTGATCCAACAAATTAGGAGAATAAAAGGGGTTTAAACTGATTACCCAGACATCGCCGGTAAGTCTTTGTTATTAATCGCAGAGATGCAGACAATAGGTCAGTATCTTTATAGTTGTTTGGTCCTAAACACGCAATGGACCTTCTGTTTCAAAATCCTTTTTTATAAAGAGTTAAAGAGCAAACAAAGCTAAAACTAGCATGTTGTTTAGCTACAGACAAAAACCTTTTGCAGTGATTTAAAGTTAATCTCTGTTGGCTAAATGCAAAGACCTCCGACCACTCTGAAAACGTTATTCTCGTTAATGTCTTTAGAGATTTAGCAACCATTAAGGTACATGTGGAACCGGCCCCAGTATCAAACCTTAAAAGGCCAGAGATTGGATTTCTAAACAATAGTCTCCATGTATAACAAAGTATCAACATGCTTACGGCCTATAATGAATTGGGCTTCTTTGAAAAATCCATCATTAGGTTAAGGGAAATAAAAAGCAGTGCATTTTATTTTACCTTATTTTTGTGTCAAAGACCTTCCAGAAGTTTTGGAGAGAGTTACAAAACTAATTTAGCCTTGAATAACCCTCTAAATCTTTAATCAACACAGTGGCAAAAGCCTGGAACACACCAGTCAGTGTTTTCTCACACGTCTCCTCTTTATTTAGCCCCGTCTTGCAACCCATTAACACTACCTGGCTCCATTTGCCACTGGTTCCAAAATCAACCTCTGGTTTCCTCCGACCTGTTCTCTCTTTGCTCCATGCCCGTGTCTGGCCTCATTGAATCTGAAATGTTCGGAAATTAGTACGAATGAATACTTCTGGTCTTATCCTTTATGCCCCTGATGGGGTTTTTCTTCCTGTGCAGTTCTGCCCCGCTGGAGATTTGATCTTCGAGGTGTACCTGGAAAAGAAAGAGCCTGAGCACTGCTGTTTAATAAAGGTGAGTGTGTGTGTGTGTGTGTGTGTGGGTGTGAATACCCATGAGATATACATGTTAGGAGGGTGAAATAAAAGAGCAGGGGGGTGAGCAGGAGAAAGAAAGAAAGGGGACAGAGAAGGGAATTTTGATCGAATAGAGATGAGACGTCCGTTCTCTAACCTAATGCGATTATCACAAATTAATAAAAAAAAAAAAAGTTGTGTGGGTTATTTTATTTTCCAAAGGCTGTGTCAGGTTACGCACTTTTTTCAAAGGACCGCGGCGGCTCCAGAGGGGCTGAGGATTAGAAAAAGTCTGACCTTGATTCTTCATTTTATTTCAGGCGAGAAGTAGCTTTTTTTTCAGATTTTTTCACCGAATGTGCTAACTCCGCGCTGCGGCCACCGCTGTGTTTCCGCTTGCTGTGTGCGGCAGGTCTCTCCCAGTATGCGGCCCTCTGAGCTTGCAGAAACCGCGCTGAGTATGAGGAACGCCACGTTCAAAGCGGATGACCTGTGGACCACCTTTGAAGTCATCGAAAACGGCGAGCTAGGTATGACGGATTTTTCTGGTCTCCCTCCGGCCTCCATCCTGTTAGCCCTGTTTGGTTCTCACGCATTTCAACCCCACTCAAAGGTGAAGTTTATGCTTTATCCAGCCCTGGTTAGAAGGCGTCATTTTGGGAATTCAGTAGCAACATTTTTCCGACCTTTTTTTAGGGCTTTCATCAGAAATTTTCAGTGATAATCAGGAAAGAAACACGGGAAACTTGACAGCTGGTTATGAAACTGTGATGTTTCAATGTGATGGTGCTTTTTTAATCCCTGTTGGAAAGGTTTTATTCCCCCTATAGTTGAATTATGACTTGGGAAAAGTGAGATGTTCAGTTATAAATCTAGTTTTCTCTATTCTCTATCAGTTAACCCATCCTTATGTGACAAAGCATTGACCGTAACTAGTAAATGTGATCATAGCTTCTCTTAATTAACCCAATTTATCCATATTGCAACTGGAAGATGGTCAGTTTGGGTGTGATGTCACGCCAGGATAAATTACAACCAGTGCCTTTTGCAGTTTAAAAGGGGATTAGCTGGTTTTGGGTGAGGGGATCCAGTCACAGGTGAAAAAAACAGGGGAACCAAAGCACTTCAAAAGTTAATTCATTATGAACACCAAATAATAGAAAACCAAGAAGTGCTACTACACAACACAGGGAGCTGAAAAACAGGAAACGGGATAGAAACTCAAAAGTCAACACGAGCAAGAGTAAGAAGGCTCCTTTTTGACAGGAAATATTCGACTCCATTTTCACTTTTTGTGCATCCTCACCAAGTTTTTAAAGAGCCCTCATGAATCCTCACCAGGCCTCTTTAAAACATGCTCCCACACACAGGTTGATGTTCTTTTAATTGCACATTCCTCCTGATGCAGGCCAGCTATTGGTCAACGTCTGCTCATCTTTGTTTTGTTGTTGTCGTTGTTTTTTTTTGGGCCAAGTTGATGAACACAACTGACAGAACACCCACCCTGAGCTCTCCCGAACCGCGCCGTTGTTTTTTTTCCCACAACAGCATCTTCTTGCCGCAGCTGAAATGAATAAATTTTACTGTTAATAATTGTCGGCTCGTGCTGGCCTCACCGCTGGAAGCGCCGCGCTCACACATCGTCTTGAGGACGCAAAGCAAGCCTCCGCGCCCCATTGTCACGCAGCGTAATCAGCCCTGAATTTTTTCTGTAAAGGGCAACATGTTTTTCTGCACCTGAGATAGGTCAGGCATTTACAGTAGCGCTGCCGAGTAATTACCCCTCTTTAGAATGCATTTGATTAAATTATAGATTTTAATCAAGTAGAAAAAGAAGCATCTCGGTTAACAAATACCTACTTCTGTATTTTTGTTCCGCAGAAGGAGCCATATGTTGTATAACTGAGCAGCAACCTTTGAAAAAAAGCTTTGCAGATATGAGAATATTTCCATAGAAACATCAGTTGAAGGTGTTTGTTGGTTCATGTTTTCAACTTAAATCGTATAGTTCTACAGGTGTTTTTTTTTTAAAGTTTGAAAGTAATTTATAGATTATTTACTATTTCTATGCATGCAGACCTCAGAAGACCAACTAAAACATTGCACACCTGTTGCAATCCAGCTAAGAAGCGCTGTTTTCCGCATTAAAGGAAAAATACTTGAAGCGAAATCGAATTCCTCTCTCATCAGAAATTAGTGAAAGTCTCGGTTGTAACTTTCCCTCGTTGTGCTGTGTATCCAATTAGAGTCACATCGCCATTTAGAGCGACCGTTCTCGTGATCGCACTTCCTCTCATCCATGGACCTCATGATTAGAAGATTATGCTATCTCTCTAATGAACCAGTGTCTGCGAACGTGGCGGCACACTGAGAAATTACACAAGCATCATTGGTTTGATGATATGCACATTAATTAATTATCTTTGCCATCATATGTCATAGATTACCTTCCATCTTTCTTGCATGATCGACCTAGAGAGCTGACCCAACGCATCCCGCATTAATATGCACCGACGGCTCCTCGCGCCTCGCACATCTGCATTTGATCATAGAAAGAAGGAGGCGAGAGGGAAGTCAGATTTGTCACAAAGCTGTCCCCGTGCACTCATCAGTTCAATGAGAGTTTACACCTCGCTCTCTCATGTTTGTTTTTCCTCTTTGCAAAAGTTTCAGAGGACACGCCGTCCTCTTTTAGAAGCCAAGGTGCGTTGAATACTGAATCTATTCGCTGACAGTTGAGGATATTTTCCACGCTAAAACAATATGGAGGAAGAGTAAACAATGGTGCTATTTTAAAGTCTGAAGCCTGACAGGTTTTCTAATAAAACCCTAAAGAGAGGAAATTGTGGTAATTAGCCATTTTGGAGGATTGCTCAAGATAAACACTGTTTCCAAGGACAACAGGCAGAAAAAGGGAGCGAATATTAGCAGAAAAATGAGGGAGTTACTAGTTCCATATGGCCAGAGATTTGAAAAAGAAGAAAAACACGCTGTTATTAATAGGTTGTGCCATTGTGTCTCTTCTTACCTCCCTCAGCTATGGGAAACAGGGGTGTGTTGACGTGGAGGCATCTCAGCACAAATGGCCTGCTGTTTTTTTTTTCCTGACAGCGTGCCAATCAGGAAGAGACGATGATCTATTTTGGACAAGTCTGCGTTCTTTTAATCGGATAGGCTGCTGATCATTGAAAGTGCGCCGTGATGAAAACGGAAGGAACAACGACATAATTTTGCTGTTTGGTTAACATGATGAGGGTGTCAGATTTATTTCAGGTAGAAATTATTTAAAGGGGTAGATTAATTTTTGACATTTGTTTTCCTCCCCCTCCTGACCCCAAAGCTGTCTCCATTTCCCCAACAGAGCGACCATTGCATCACAGTGAGAAGATACTCGAACAGGTGCTGGAGTGGAGTAGCTTGGACTGCCCGAGTTCTGCTTTTCTTGTCATAAAGAAGTTTGCAGGGGCCAAAAGATTGGCTGAGAGTAAAGGTAGAGTTCCCTCAAACTACTACTAAGTGTAACACACTGACTATTTCTTTGACACCAAAAAGTTTTTGAACCGGTGTTTATTACTTTGACAATTCATTTCAAACATTTTCATGGACAAACTGGAAGCTGTTTATTCATTTATGTTCGATTTAGGAGTGAGACGGTTTAAACTGACTCAGAGGGCTGCAAGGAACTAAATATTTCTTCACTTTAGATGTGAATGCCCTCAAATTAATGCTAGCTGCTCCCTGAATATCTTTCAAATGAGTGAAGTTGAGTTCATGGTGCACTAAAACAGACATGAAACCACACCACAAAACCGGTTTTGAAACTCTTAAAAACACATTTTATGAATTCATAACGAAATTTATATTTCACACCTTTGTCAAAATATCGGTTTGGGGTGTTTCACTGTGACTTTGTTTTATTGTCGTGCAGCGGAGCCGAAGCAGTTCGTAAAAAGCGACTACTTGAAGTTCAGCGACGGATCCTCCAAACTCCTGTCGGGACACAAATTTCAGGAGAAGTACGTGGTGCTCCGCGCAGAGAAGCTGCTCCTCTACAGGGACATCAAAGTAAGCGCCCCCGCTTGAGCTCCGGCTTCACCTACTGTCAAACCCGCGCTCAGAACTTCTCACCGTCGGTTTATCTCGCAAATACAAATCCTTGGAGGTGCAGGGGGATGACGACATCCCCGGGGATGGTGAAGGCTGGTGGGAAAGGGGGGATAGATAAATCTGCTCGACTAAAAAAAAAGTGGGTTGCAGCCGAGCAGACCCAAAGCCGGCTTGAAGTCTGCGGGTTTCGTCACCCAGGCAATGCGTCTCAAAGCGCCCGTCTTCAAGTCTGCCTCGAAAAATAAAACACACTGATGGCAGCGGGCTCTTTTTTTTTTTATCTGCAAAAAGGAAGAATACAGTGTGTGTTTCTGAGGGGACCGGCAGGACCAAGTTCCCTGGAGGGCTTTTCTTCGTCTTCTTCTCCTCACATTTCTTCAGTTGAAACATGGGATTTTTTAAAAAAAGAATGAAGAAGTGTTAATAATTAATGGAGGGCACAGTCATTCAGACTATGGGATGGGAGGTAGCAGGCATAATAAGCAGGGGTGGTGTGTTTTTTTTGTGTCCCTATGGGGGGTTGGGATGATAGTTTTGCTGAAAGCTCCTCTAAATGCGAGGTTGCGCGATAACGTGGCTAATTACTAAGTAAATACTAAGAAAATTAGATGTGTTAGTGGAATCTAATTGATATTCTTCGGCCTCTGCAATTCGGTTATTGTTAGATCTGCATTTAGAGCAAATTATGTTGGATGAAACTCTGAATGGGTGGTAGGGTTTGATGTGTAGGTGTCACAAGCGAGCTATAACTTTGATTCCGTTTGCTTTCTTCTCCTCCCACTTTGTTCTTTGTCAGATGGAAGATGCCGGTAATGATTCAGACAGACTGGCACAGACTTTATTTTACTTTGGCTCCAAATGTTGTTTTCTTTCCTGATCATTTGAAAATAAATGCTTCCCCCCCCTCTTTTTTCTCCATTTTATTTGGTTGTTTTTTTATCAGAGCGCTAAAGCAGAGAAAGCTATCCAGCTGAAGTGTGTGAAGTGTTACCTGGGCCTGAAGAAGAAGCTCAAGCCTCCGACCAAGTAAGCCCGCACTCTTCTCCAGAGTGAGACTCTAAAGGGATTCAACAGTCTGCTCAGATGAAATAAAACCACATAAATTACAGTTTCAGCTGCATATGTTATGACCTAAAAGTGCTTTTCGGTGTTCCCTGATGCGGTGGATTTAAATCAGTACAGGTGCAGCAGTTACATTAACAGCAGAGCGGTCGACATCTGACGGTGTTTACGCATTTAATTACGTTACAAACTTGAAAAAAATAAATAAAAAGCCAATTTGATACAAGCAGGAAAGTATAAGACCAAGTACACGGTGATGGATGAGAAGCAAAGCTGAGAATGAAAATTGCAGTTTTTATTTCCTGACTTTGGAAGATAAATATGTGTGTTTTTTGACAAAGCTGCAAAAGAATAAAAAGGGAACAGAAACCCAGCAAAGAGTTGGCTGTCCTTTCGGTTTTACACTAAAGTGTGTTTAATCACTTCCTGCATTGCGATCAGCCCCAATAACTGAGAAGACTTTCATTGCCTCATAGATATCACTTAGGTGTTCATCACACAGGTTTCTATCCTTCCATTTGCCGCCATTAAAACAACATTCGCGCTAATTTCACTCTGGCTTCTCCCAGATGTTTAGCTCCCTGCGCCAGAACAGTCGGGCGGTTTAAAAAACAGAGAAAAGTTTCCAACCTCATCAGTTTGATTTGCACTCCATCCTCTCATATTTTGTGGCGCATTAACTGTAAGTACTATCCCAGCGTGGCCTCATACATCACCGTTTCCAAAAAGTTCTCTTAAGGGAAATGAGTATAAAAAAGCTCATTGATTTACTCATGGTTTAAAGTCCCACTCCACTAAAAAAAAAAAGTGGCTGCTATCCTCAATCGCCATGTTCAAAAGGCTTTTTTTCCATGTGTTACAAGCCAAATCACACCAGGAATTTCCAAAAAGCACCAAGTTTTTTGACAGAGAGCTGAACACCTTCTTTAATGAATTAAATTAATTCTTACCATGCTCAACATGTCTAACAGAATGGCTTTTTGTAAAAGATCCAGGTGTTTAATGCCTGCCCAAAACCCATCTGAACATTCAACTTGTCTCGTTATGCTTTCTAACAATGGTTTGAATGAACGGAAACTCATTAGTTCTTATCAGAGGCTATGTTTTTGACACTGAAGATGAACTGGTGATTATCTAGCAGCGCCACATTCCTCGGGAGCTATTTTTTATTCCATGTGCATGTGCACAGGTGTGTGTTAGACTTTTGTCTCCAAAGGCACGTTACCCTTTCTCTCCCCTGAAAGTTTTGGGGTGGGGGGGGATGGGGTTCCAGAGCGACTCCTGACCTCGTCATATTTTTCACTGTGAAGAAATTGACTAAATGTAATTGGCTTTTAACAAATACAAACGATTAAACTCTGCCTCTGCCCAATGGAAAAACGTTGCCGCTGCTGTTTTTATTCTAATGATCTGGTGTTATTGTAATTTATGACACGCCAAAAAGGCACGCCGGCTCTTGCTGGTCACACAAAGGGAGGAATTTGGAGAAAACCAAACCCTGTGCTTGCGCGTTACCTGCTTATAATTCCTCATCATTTTCCCTTGCGTCGTCATTTCGAGTCGAGCGGGGCGTGAAAAATGAGTGCGGCCCACGGCTTTCGGCGCCCCACGCTCCTGTGGGGTGGGAGAAAAAATGGGATAGGAGGCAGGGAGCAGGTCGCAAGGAAAGCAGGACGCAGATGTGATGCGGAGTGGGCCGCTTTATGTTTATGTTTATGTTTATGCATTTGGCAGACGCTTTTATCCAAAGCGACTTACAGAGTAGACACAATATTACATTTCTCATCACTATGACAATAAGCTATATAGAGGAGAAACACTGATCAGAGTCAGTGGTGAGATAGAGATAGAGGTAGAGGGACTACAGAAGGAGCTGTAGGGGGGTAGAGGTACGGGTTAGGGTTAGGATAGGAGATGCTCTTTGAAGAGGTGGGTCTTCAAGAGTTTCTTGAAGACAGACAGGGACTCTGCTGTTCTTGTGGCGCTTGGTAGGTCGTTCCACCATCTTGGAACGACACATTAAACAGTTTGGATTGTCTTAAGCGTGGTGAAGGCACTGCTAGACGACATTCCATTGATGACCGGAGTGATCCAGTTGTGACATAAGCCTTTGCAAGGGGGATTCAAGTAGATGGGAGCCGTACCCTTAAGCACTTTGTAGGCTAGCATCAGGGACTTGAATTTGATACGGGCAGCCAGAGGTAACCAGCGGAGTTCAATGAACAGAGGGGGTGACGTGAGATTTTTTGGGGCGTTAGAAGCGATACGGGGGAATAAGGCAAATAAAGACGGAGTGGCGAGGAGCAGAGGGCTGGATGGAGAGGGTTAGGACGGGCAGGCTTCAGTAGCTCATTAGGCAGAGGTTTCATCTGCCCCCCCCCCCCCGCCCGCCCTCCTTTCGCTTTGTTCCCGCTCCTCACCTCTCTTTTTCTCTCCAGCTGCAGCTGTGAGGGTTTTCAGGAAGGACGAAAGGTGGTCTTTCCACCTTCCACTGCCTGTGTTTTGCACATTGAATGTTACGACCAGCGTCCCCGTGCTCCCCGAAGCCCACCCGAGGACCGGTTTCACTTAGCTGAGCTTTTAATTGTACCTGAAACGGCATCAGTTACAGTCTGCCTATCTGTGTATTCCCAGCAAATGATAGTTTAATTCCTAAAGGTGAGCAGCATGGGGCTCTGTGTGTTGTAGAGTCTGACCCGGAGCATATTGATGTGTGCTCATGCATAAACATAACGGGATAGAAGTGTAGTGATTAATTCCACTGTTAAGCATCCAGCTCTTATAGGGAACTCTTTTTCCTTTTCTTTTTCTTTTTTTTTTTTTCTTCACGCTGCGAATCTCCGAAAGGTTTTTGACCTTTTTCACTCAAAGAACTCACCCGAAAAAGTTGGCTAATGATTAGAAAATTGGAAGTTTTATCAAATTGTGCAGGGGTGATTTGGCAACAGAAATGTCTATGTCTGATGGTAGTTTTTTTTTTTTCTCTCTACAGCTGGGGTTTCACAGTGTGCACAGATAAACAGCAGTGGTGAGTATTGAGCAGGATTCCTTTGCTTTCAGTCACTCATGCCCGGAAATGTTCATCTTCCCATTTGAAAATGTCTATAAATCAGATCAAAACAAGTGTCACAGAGTGACCAAATGATGCAGACAGCCAGTTATTGATCAGGAACATCATTAAAACCACTGAATGTCACAGACCGCCACGTATAGGACTCTGATTTCTCTTCTATTTCATATTGAAATTAGAAACAAGAACAATTATTATATACAGCGCCAGAATATATTTAATATAAACCCGGAAATGGTATTTTGCATTCTAATGCTTTCAAGGACTTAATTTTGTATCCATTTGATTGTCTTATGTTGAGTTGAACTGCAAAAGAAAAGCTATTTATTGTCATTATTCGTGCTGTTAAAAAGGCTTTCAGTCCCTCATGTATTATAATGAGTTTGAGAGGTGGAAATCGGAGATGAAGTATAACAAAAGAGGTGGTGAAACACTTGCAAATTGAGAAGTGGCATAATGGAACTGTGTTTAAATTAGACAAGAAAAGAGTCATAAATTGTCATGTGGTTTGATAAATTCAAAGCAAGCTGTGATGTAATGAAGACAAAGCCATCTTTCATAATAGTCTTTTTAAAAGGATTGCATCTGTAAGCAAAGGTTTTTAGAACAAACAGGGTGATAAAAAGTAAAGGGAGTGTATGAGATTTGAAGGGCTGGATCTGATTGAATAAACTCATGGTCAAGTTCTTATACAAGTCAGGGCTGATCAGAGCTGAGGAAATTGCACAGCCCTGGAATAGACTGTGATGTGATTAATGGTGCTAAGTGTTAGCCGAGTCTTAACTAAGAAGACTTAATGAGCTATTGTGTTTTGCTCCGTAAGTTATTTATGTATCATTTCCCCAAAGCATCCAGCTGAAGGGCTCCAGTGAGAGAGCAGTGGTGCAGTTCATGGCCACGGTAGTACAAAGCCCGACTATGTGGCAGGTATTACTTTAATCATCATCATCCCAGATTATTACTTTGAGCAATAATCAGCGCTTCGGAGGCGGTTTTTATACTCGGGCAGACCCGCGTAATGATAGTTAATGACAAAGTCTCCACCCTCCAGTCACGTCTGTTTACAGTAATCATTCAAGTGTCCCCTCGGAGGGAGCCCGTGCCCCGCGTTTGTGATTGGCCGGCTCCGGCCGCCTGGAAAAAAAGAGTGGGTGGGAAAGCAGTTTGTGGTGTGACCAAGCTTTTCCCCTTTTCTCAGGTACTTCTGCTGCGACAAGAGGGAGGTGCAGGTCAGCTGGGTGGCAGACATCACCGCCGTGAAGGTAGGACTAACATCCTCTCACGGGGAGGCCTGATGAAGGCACTGAGGGGAAGCTGGTATGGCTCAGGGGAGGGGCAGAATATACGGGTGGGCTTTCAATACTCCAGCTGAGAATGCGGAAGATGAAGAAACATTTTATTTTGACTCCATCTGAATGAAAAACACACTCGTTCGGAGGACGAATTAGCCTCTTTTACAATCCATATCTTAGCAACAAGGAAATATGAGGAATCTGAAATCCCCCCTATAGCTGCTCCCAGCTTTTTCTCACTGGTTGATGAAAGTGCAGATATCCAACTGATGGTTCCAAACGTTTATTAAAGGATTTTTTTGTCATGCAAACGTCCAAGACCACCGTGAACACTGCAAAATACGCGGTGGAAAATATTCATCAATAAAACCGTCATGTTTACCTTACATGGATTATCAAATGAAACTTATTAAATAAAATATAAATTCTCTAAATTGTCCGTACCGTATGCCCCTCCAACCAGAAGGTTAAGAGTTGCTAGAAGTCCATTTCTTCCATTTTTTATTCCTTTGCCTTTACTCTTGAACACGCAGACTAATTATTAACAAACTCAGAACTTCCTATCAAAGGCATCACGTGATCAAGTGAAGACCCAATCGGTGACGTCTCCATATGACATTGTTACAATATTTTCCAAAGTATTTACATATTAATCGAAAATACACAAAGATATGAAATAGATATTGAAAAGTAAAACATATTCATATTCACAAAATAAAATAAATTCAAGTAACTGCGTTCGCTACACCCCCCCCCTTCCTTCATCCATTCCCATTTGGCTGTAAAAACGTAAACACAGAAGGAGCTGAAAAGTTTTTCGAGGTCACTCGACAATGGCATAAATCACTTTATGTGGAAAAGCTGTGAGAATAAGGTCAAGGCGACTGGAACAATCACATTGTGGCGCTTAGCCCCCCAGATAGAGCTCTCTGTGTTGTCGCTGTCAGTCGCTGACACAGCACATACCACATAAATAATGCAGGCCGGGCAAACACAGGCAGAGCAGCCGAGGAGCCGTCACATTCTCCCTCTCGCATCCCTCCCCGCTCCCCCTCATTAGACTGGATGTGCAAGTCTGTCTTCTGCTCATTTTTTGGGTAAACAGCGAGAGCCGAACTTCGATTTCTTCCCTAAACAGAAGGATCAAACCCAGATCTTCCGGCTCGGAGCTGTGTGCTCAGCACATTTCATCAGCATCAGCCCCTCTTCTGGGCTTCCTTTATGGGAACCCGTCTGCGGCGCCGCGTTGTTTATCGCAGGTGCTTACTGTAAAAGCCTCTTAGTGCCTCGGTTTAGCTTAGCAAGTAAAAAGGGCAACGCCGTCGGGGAGAGATTGATCTAAAGGGGAAGGGCAATATTTGTTTTAAGTGTTTCACGGTGTTTATTTCAGTGGACTTTTTCTGATCTCCAGAAAGCTCTTAGCGCTCCGGTTAAATCTATGGCCGACTGGAACCGGCTAAATATATATTAGGGATTTTCCGCCGAGAAATCCTCAAAATATCGGGATTGTCGGCTTCCAGCAGAGAGGCTGGTGGGAAGGACGCGGGAGTTCTGCGAAGGGCAGAGAAAAAAAAAAAGTGGAGATGAGAAAGTAGACAGAGAGCATCGGTGGGCTTGATTCCCCCTTACCTGGCAGCGAGCATTGTGCTCTCCCAGTTTCCATGGCAACGAGCAGAGGAGGCCCTTCCGAGGCGAGGTGGAACGGGAGGGGGGGCGGGAGGGAGGGTGGAAAGGTCCAAGGAGAGGGCCTGGCAGCGATGAAATAAGGATTTGTTAAGACGAGATAGTTCTGCGGGTCCCGGGGTCGCAGTGATTCTATAAAGGGGGACGTTGTTAAAGCGAAAGTTTAGCCAGGGATCAGAACATAGTGGGACTGAGAAATCATCACCGTCTCACTCCTCTTAAAAGGTTGCTGGCTTTAATCCGGCACATAGTGTCGCCCCGAGACGCGAGCAGGAGGACATCACACCACCCCCCCCCCCTCAGACGCCATGCCGACGGAGCACCGGGCGGGAATTTAAAAGATGGCAGCCAGCAGGAGGAAGCTTCTCCTGAGGGCGGAGGGCTTCCAACCCTGAGCTGCGTCGTTTCACAAGTCCAAGTTTTTTTGCTCTCTGCTGCCTGTTAAAAGGAAGTTTTTCCTTGCCTGTGTCGCCTAGTGCTTGCTCATGGTGGGAATTGTTGGGTTTCTGTAGTTAACTTCAGAGTAGGGTCTGACCTGCTCTGTTTGGAAAGCGCTGTGAGACAACTGGTGTTGTGATGTGGCGCTATATAAATAAAATTGAATTGAATTGAATTGAATTGCTGTGTGTCTCCATCAGTTCGGGTCTGACCTCCAGTCCAAGACCACCGGCTCCAAACACAAAGCGGATCAGAAGTCCTCCAGAGGGGCCACCGTCCCAAAAGGCAGCAAGGTTCCATCATTCAAGGATAATTCCCGCAAACAGGTGAAGAAAGTCGAGTTTGAGTCCATCCGTATGAAAAATGAGTTTTTTTGCCGAGCATCTTTGTGTGAAAATGTTTGTCCGCAGCCGACAGACAGGGGCGTTCCTCTGGAAGATGGAAGTCGGTCTCCCGCCTGGGTCAAAGGTCACAACCTCAAAACCAAAACGCTAGCCGCCTGCCCGAAGCCCGGCGACCAGCTCAAGGCCCCAGAGCTGCAGCACAGGAGAGCCTCCGCGGACGTCCGCCGGCCGCCCCGGTCCACGTCCCCGCTGGTGTCCAGAGGCGGTTTGGGCCCGGCCACGCCCGCCCCGCCTCCGGGCGGCTGCACGGCGGCCACCAAAAAGCCGGCCATCGGCGGGGAGGGCCTGATGCCGCACAATCTGCTCAGCGAACTGAACTCCGTGCTGAACAAGACCGGCCGCAAGAGCAGCGACTGACCGGAGGGGAAATAAGGACGGAAACGTCTCCGGGTTTGACTACCAACGGCACAGGAGGAGGAAGAGGTGAAAACTTGGAGGGTGTGTAGCGAGTCGCTCATGAACCAAAAGTATTGTGTAGGTACCTACAGGCGCACGGGGGATTTGGAAACAGGTGAGGGAAACTGTGGAGGTCAGGCACCCCTCAGCTGCTGACCCAAGCACTACACCATGTGATTTATATTCTGCTCTTTCCAGAGAGAGTTGGCAGAAATAATGCGAACGTCTCGTCCCGCGACCGTAAAAGTATTTTTATTCAGCACTTGTGCCGGGAATTTAAGTTTCTATTGAACATTTACTGATGTTTTATTGCACTCCTCACAATTTTTTTTTTATTGTAGTTGTGTTTATAAAAATTCCAGACAAGATTTAAAACCTCCAGACAAGCATCAGTAACGTTTACTTGGACACAACAGCCAATTATAGCAGGTGGACGGGGGATTTGTGTTTGTGTTTTTATTTATTTGAAATAAAGTGTCCCTTTTTCTGTACGTTTGTCGGTCATGTACGTTTAACAGGACAACGGGTATCTGCGTTTTCACGGCATCGTAACTCGGTGGGACACCACTTTAAACCTTAAACCCACTTTAAACGTCAATGCAATTTTAATGTACAGCATGAATTTATTAATAAACATGAGAAAATGCTTTGACATGGCCTTTTAGTGGACGGCTTCATCTTTAATGAAAATTCATTTAGTTTGCTCAACAATCGAGTGCTTATTACTCCTTCAGAGTGGACTGTTGACTGAGACCCATTTATGAAAAACTTTAGCCTTATTACCTTATCGGTTCTGCATAAAATTGGTCGTTTTATCACAGTACCATTTCATCTGAATGTTGGATCCATCTGCGTTTGTTCTGCCTTCTAAACGCTTGAAGAAACCAAAAAGCTGGCGTTATTTTGCTCTAAAAGGGGGTTAAAGGGAGTGAATGTCCCTGAGATTAACAGGAGACTCATAAATAAGCAGAGGCTTCTTAGAATATGCTCCATAAATAATGGTAAGCCTGTGTATGCATCTGTAATGTGCTCATATCTCCTGATACTTGTTAGAACTCAGGCAGCGGCTTTTTGGACGAGTCTTTAGTTGTTTTTTTCTTCTGGAGAACCACACCAGACTCCTCCGGTTCCAGCCTCGACGGGTAAAAAGCGCTGGTTTGATGCTTCTGCCGAAACCCTCAGATAAGACGGCGGGATTGGGAGCTGGGGCTGAAATCGCTGGAATTCAAGCTGAGTAACACTCAATCTTTTTGTTTGCTTTTCAGAAAACTATTATTTCAGGCTTGTCTTTGTTTAACAGAACTCTGACAGATGGCTTTTAACTCGCTGTAAGCGCTGACAGAGGGAGTCTATTAGCAGGAGACATCTGTTGGTAAAACAGCTAAAAGAAATAGGCTGCAAAGGTTTGGGCACCCCAGCTGAAATGTTCCTTACTCGGAATACCAGAATACGAAATCGTCTCCAAAGGACATTTTGAAGCTGCAACATCTTTATAAAAAGCTTTTCTTTACAGATAAATTGAGGGAAATGTGCCGGATGATGCATCAACCTTTCCCTGCTCCCCGAGCTATTCGATGCAACCTATTGTCAAGCACGGAGGTGGTCTGGTCATGCTTTGGTGTTTGGGTTGCAGTTTTTTCACCGCAAGAACAAAGAGGGACTTCAAAGAAACACTAAAGGTTCTGCACTCAAACATCCTGCCGTCTGTAAAGACATTTAGTTTAGAAAAAGGAGTTTGGGGGGCTGAAACTGACCTCAATGAGACAGTTTTCGTTCATCCTGTGAACACTTTTAAAGGATATTAGGACAGTTTGTGATTTAATGTAATATGTAAAAAGAAAAAAAAGTTTACACAAGCTTACATGGGAATGCTAGTATGCCTAAAAAAATATTATTTATAAAAAAGGAACTTTTCCCAAACTTTTAACTGCAGGTTTCTCCACCGCACCTCTTGTGTAGTGCAAATGAAAACATTTTTTGTCTTTGCCAAAAGCCCTGGGACTAAAATAAAGTCGTTTTTCTTGGTTTCCAAAGAATTACAGCTGGTTGGAGAAGTGGAATTGGCAGAGGCGTAAGCGGCATGTAACAGGAAAGGAGTTTTTTTTTTCCCTCTCTCCTTAAATTGGCAACCTTCAACTTTTTATAGCAACAGAAATTAAACAACATCCAGATCTAAGGAGCAAAAAGTTTAATAAGAATAAAACCAGACTTATATGATGATAGAGATGTGGAGTTGAGACGGTGATAAACATCAGGGATGTTTACTGATAATTAGACATCGCTTTCAGGTTTATTATTATTATTATTATGCATCATGATTAGATTTTTTTTTCCTTGTTCGGCTGCCGAAAGCTTTTTATCAGTGCTGTTTTTGTTTTAATGATGCATCTGCTCCCTCTACGTTTCTGGAATAGATTAATTTAGCAGGTGAATGTGCTCAGAATGCTCAAGGATTTGGCTTTCTTCTCTCTCTTTTTTTTAATAAACACTTTTTCACTGACCAGATTTAAGATGTGGAGCAGTTTGAGCCAGAGTGAGACCACATCTGTCCCTGTCCTATTAATATGTCTTTTTATTAATACATCTCAACTAAATTTGCATTAACTCAGGTGAAAAAAAAAAAAAAAAAAAATCAACTCACGCTTGTGTTGAATAATGTAAAGAGATTGGAAAATGCACACACAGACGATTGTCACCGGCTCCTGCATGAAAAATTCATGTTTATTTTCATTATGCCGCTTGTCCTTTGTTTCATGTCCTTACATTCTAATCATAGAGTACCAGAGTCTGAGGGTTTCTCATCCCGGGTTTGTTTGCGCGGCGGAAAGGTGCGTTTCTATTTTTCCCACCACGTTAATTAGGACACTGTATTTATGATCCGTCACCACTTCTGAGCTCTGTCAGTCAACGGGCCGAGGGCTAAAAGCTGACTGTGCATCCCATTGGTGTAAGATGGGTCAGCATTTAACGTTGCGCTCTTTCTAAAGTCTCCCTTTTGAAATAAACGGCCAAAGTGAGCGTCTGCTTTCCTTGTGGCGGCACCATTCTGTCCCTCCGTCCTCCCTGCCCTTCCTCAGGCTGTCGTCTGAATGTATATTTACCTCTGTTGTCCTCTGCGTCCATTTTTTTCCTTCTTTTTTTTCCCCCTCCACCATCCCTTCGAGGCCCACGCCGTCCAAAGGTCACCATATGGTGGAAAGGGAGCCGCGCTGAAAAAGTCCTGCCGAGTCGTGAGCATTTTTTAATGTGCTGACTTTGACCACGCCGCTCTGTCGGAGGGTGGCAGCCTGTGTGGGTGCAGCCGTGGCGAGCAGCGCGCCTTTAAGGTCGACTTATTTCACATTTTTTAACCGTCGGAGCTTCTGGTTTTGGGAGGCCCGGATTTTGCATTCAAATCAAGAGTGGATCTCACGGAATTACAGAATACTGCATACCCCCCCTACCCCATCGAGTAATTCAAAATGAAATAAGTGAAAGGGAAAAGAGAGAAAAGCATTAGCCAATCAACCCCCCCCCCCCCACCAACCAATATGTTTCAGATAACAGCTACCACTGGGCAGCCGTTGTAACCGTTTCCATGGAAACGTGGCTTTCCGGCTGGACTGCAGGGTTGGAGATTAATAGAAATAAACGCAATTAACCCAAAGAACCAAATTCAAAATTGTCAGATTTCTCTACATGCGGACAAAAATCCCTTTTTTTAAATTTTTTTTTAATTTTTTACTTTTTTTTCTGCTTAAAGTTCTTTCTTCCTCAGACCTGACAAAGTTCACTCTGACCTGTCAACGTTTTCCACTCCTCCCTCTTGTCTTTTCGAACATGTTCTGCGTCCCGCGTGCTTTGAAGCGTCCTTCTGTGCCTCGTTGAGCTTTATTTCCCTTTTTTTATGACGAAGAGCCCGAGCGCTTTGGCTCGCCGTCCTTGTTTGCCACCTGCTGCCGAATGGCTCAGCACCTGAACCTCATCAACTGATTGCTGCTGTCAGTCTCCATGACCCCCCCCCAACCCCCAGCTTTGTCTTTTGGATATCATCCTGAAAACTCTTGGTTATAAAGCCTGAATTATCTGTGTTTTACAAGATTAAAAGATGACAGGAATAGATCAAGTTCTCCTCTATGACCCGGTGTCATGTTCATAATTAAAAATATCTAAAACTGCTTAAAATAAAAGCAAACAGTCCCATTTAGAATGCTCATCTTAACAATTTTTACACCGTAAAAATTGCCGTATTTCCAGCTTCCTAACTATCAATTTAAAAATATTGCTGTACGTATAAAACCCCAAAACACAAAAGAAAACACAAAAAAACCCCAAAAAACAACCCAAAAAACAAAAGAAAACACAAAAAAAATAAATAAAAATAAACATGGCATGTTGCCTTTATCCAAAGCTCAAAACGTTGCAAAAAAAAGGGTCAGAAATCCACCGTACACTTTTCTGTCTCCCCTCACCCTGAAACCGCTCTCTCTCTCTCATAAATGTTGAAGGTTTGTAATTATAAAATACATGTTTGGTGCTATGATGAGGGGATGACGGGACACGGTTAGCTTAGGCTGTTGCTAACGACGACCCTGAATTTACAAACCTGAAATGTTAAGCTTTGTATGCTTTCCTTTAGAGAAACGTGGACTCTCTGAAAGCGAGCTTCCGGTGGATATGATCTGGTGGGGTTATCGTCGGCCAACAGAGGTACAAACAGTGACCCGGATCGATGGCCGTTTGCCAAAAGTTGACATGTTGCTCGGCACACACGCGGAGGTTTACAGTATCTGCCTCTCTGAGCCGTGTGCGTCACTCACCCAGACGGTGAAAGACAGAAAAACAGAAGGGAGGGGAGGATTAGAGAGTAAAAGGAGCAACTGATATGCTGCTGAAAGACAGAACAGATGACAAGTCGTATCAAAAGAACAGACACGGAACCCTCGGATTGAACGTGAGACGCTTCTCAATTAAACTTGCAG